TTTGTCAAAAACAGCCGTGACCTTGTTGCCTTTCATCCTCATTTGCTTTCAGGTGTTACAGCGGCTCGTCAAGTCCAGAGGCAAGTCTCAGGCCAAACACCTCAATGTCCAGATGGTGGCCGCCGACAAGCTGGCTCAGTGCCCTCCTGTAAGTCTCCACAGTGGACCGAAATTACTGCCAATTTTAATCCAGTGTGTGAAATAACCTGGAGTTTTGTTCTTTTTGGCTCTGGGTTTTAATTTGTGCATATCTGAAGTCAGGTTTTGTTTATTCCTTTATAATTTCTGCCAGTTCTATTTCCGTCCCTCTCTAATCTGCTTACTTATTATTTTAGAAAATGAGGCAAACCCTCCAGTATTGTGAAAGCGGAGGTTTAATTTCATTTAAATAGCAGTCAGTATCTTTAGGGATTTACAGTTTAAGATTTTCTGCAAAATGAATACTTAATGTTATCTAGTGTCTAATCCTGTGAGTTGTTTCTAACTTGCCCTGATGTGTTTTTTTTTTTTTTATCGTTTTTTGTTTCCTTAAAGATCACTTTAAGTCTTTTAATGTGAAGTTGCACATCAGCGCTGGCTGGTTTTGTTGACCCTGTCATGTCTCCGTTCCATTTCCTTCAACTCTGACTGCGCCCGTTTCGCCTTTCGCAGGAAATGTTTGACATCATTCTTGATGAGAACCAGCTGGAGGACGCATGTGAGCATATGGCCGATTACCTGGAGGCCTACTGGAAAAGCACTCACCCCACCAGCTGCAGCCCCCCTGACCCAGTGCTAGCAAAGCTACCCACAGCCAGCCTGCCCTCCAGCACGGCCCCGGTCTCTGGCGTGCAGGTACAAGTGCTGAGCATACTCTGGGCCAATGAAGGCCATGGAAGAGGAGGGGAACCAGAAGTGTGGGAGGCAGGATTAGAAAGGAAGAGATGAAAGAAATCAGAGCTTTGAAGAATTACAAAATGTTGTAGTTTGCATCTACAATATCTGCTAAACGTTTTTACTTTTCTTATATTATGTTATTCTTTAACAAATGCACTACAGGTAATGTGTAAATTAAGAATAATCTACTTTATCTGGGATAGGTACACGGGTATGAAATACTAAGGAAGAAACTGAATTTAAAATGCTCTACAAGAACCTTCTGATGCATAAAGAGGAACTAGATCAGAGAAAACATCAAATATAAAAGGACGAACAGGAGCAGACAGCAAGAAAAGAGTTAGCAGAGACAAAAAACGCTTCAAGAGATGGGAACAAAATTCATATTAACAGGTCAAAACAATGCTGTTATCACGTTCATGTGATTAATCATGGCTGATGCTGATGATACAGGAGACCCCTGAAGTTTAACTACCAAAAAACGTGTAAAACTCAATAGAATAAAAACAGTTTAGAGACAGTTTGGACGTAGACAGAGAGCTGGACTTTAGTATTTAACATGAAATCATTTGTTTCACTTTTAATAGTTCCTTTTCTAATGTAGTTCCTTTTCAGCTCAGCTCTAAACCATTGTTTTTGTTTAATATATTATATGTATATATATAATATACCCTCACCCTTATGGGCAGTTTCAGTCATCTGTAAATGCTGCATAATCCCCTTATCTGCCCTTTCTCTATCCACTGCCATCACAATGTAAGACTGAGAGCGAAGAAAACGCTGATATTGATGAGGAGCAGGAGTGAGCTTGTATTTGCTAGTGTGGTAAGTGCGGCGAGGTCGAGTGATGAAAGCTGAAGCCGAGGAGCACGCCTTGCTTTTTTTGAGTTCTTACTCCTGGGTCAGAGTCGCCCGTGAATGGATTTGACGAGAAAGCGTGTGTGTTCAAGTGTGACATCTTCTTCTTT